AAATGCACTGGGCAATGCTGATACTGTTGTTATCATCCGGATTAAACCTTCGCCTTTTCCAACGAGGACGGCTGTTCCACCTCCGTCAGAGTGAAACTGTCGATATCAGAACCCTCCTTTTTAGACGAGTCAACAGGACCGCCCTTATAGCGGAAGTGAACCGTGGCCGCGAAGAGCCCAAAGGCGATGATTGCCACGAGGGCGGCGATCCAAGCGTACGTGAAAGGCCGATAGTACCTGTGGAATTAAGGAGAAGAGGTCAATTCACCGTCGTCGCAGGTTGATATTGGAGCGGTGATAGCACTATCGTCAGGGGGACAGACAAAGAGACGGACGGAAAATGTAGTGAGTTGGTAGGAAAGAACTTGCCTTTGGGGGATGGTGCCCTCCATGTTGGCGGGTACGTTAGCGTAAAGACCGACACCCCATCGCAGGTAGAACCACGCGTACGTTTTGTTATTTCCTACTGGAGGGGCGACCTGCGCTAATGCGGCACACAAGTACATGCCATTCACCGTATCCGGTACATTCATTTTTACCTTTTCAATGACAATTGTGTAATTCTTAGCCCTGTCCAACACCTTCCATCCCTCGGACTCGTTTCCCGGGCTCATGTGTAGGTAGGACATTTGTTTGGGTAGTATCCATACAACCTTTTCTATCCTGTCTAAGTTGTTGAATGGATAGTATCTTTGGTGGTAGCAAGGCAATTCCACGAGGGCAGTGCTTCTCACGACCCAATGGGTGGGATCCCACTGTTCGAACTCATCGTATACACTGCCACTCACCATCATGGCCATGCCGATCACAAGCAAGAGTTGAGGAGTCATTTCTACAAGGAGAGAGATGAGATGTGAGAGGGAGATTCATCCCTAAAGCAGACAATGGAAGGAGGAGAGGGAAGGCGACTCACCCATCTTAGCACTTCTGGGGCCTGGTTTCGTTGCCTCATGAGACATGTCAGTGAGACAATTGCTTTTATACCCTCCTGGCAGGCTTGATATGGGGGACGGGGGCGGGGGCTGATGAGGCAGGCAAAACACGTGCACAGGTCTCACTAATTAGCTCACTTGCATGGAATTATGGGGTAAGGAGGGAAAAAAAGTACTCTCCCTCACTTTGTTGAGTAGTTAGGCGTCTGCCCGCTGCATTAGTTGGTTTGCACTGTGGCACTCTTTGACTCCTCGCCAAGCGTCACGAGGTTCGCCTAGCCCGCCTAGCACGATTTAATACCTTGACACATGCAAATTTAGACAATCAACTTTTCCCCTTTCCTCTCTTTTCTCTATCAACGATGCTAAAATAAGGCGACTTTTTCAATAAACCTGTCTTTTGTGTATTGGCAACC